ACAAGATGATCCCAGGACCAAAAAAAAATTGTGGAAGACTTGGAGCTCAATGCTTTGCTTACTGAACCCAAATGTAAAAGTTCTTTTTTATCGGTTTATTTCATAGAAGGAAACTTGTAGGAACTGTACTTTCTTTTATCAAGAAAGGCAAACCAAGAATTTGTTTGAAAACTGAATTTGCTTTAAATTGGAAGGAAAAGCACAGTTTAACAGTGAGTTGTTGAAACAGCTGTTGACATTAGTGAACTTTTAGTTTCCTGGTGAGTGTGGATCAAGACAAAATTTTATGTTTATTTTCTCTTAGCTAGATATGTTTTAGTCAAAATAATAGAATAGTTAAGAAAATACTCTCAGTTCAGTGTCAAAAGGGACCATTCATGCTTTCAGCCTGGTCTTTAAAAACTATGAAAATGTGCAGCAGGCTGATGTCACTCGCTCCTAATTAGAGCCTTGTTGTGCTCTATATTTGTGAGAACTGATTTTAGTATCTGCAGCTGAAGGAAGGAAACTCCTCAAATGTTAATGCATCCAAGAGTAGGGGATGTGAGCTGTAGGAGGGAAATCCGCTGCTGCCATGCCAGGTGGAGGACTGTCAGCCTTTCCCCGGCCAAACTTCCATTACAAAAGGAGGAAGGTGAAAACTTTTCTATTTTACACATCCAATTAGAATTTCGTCGTCAGATGAGTGCTCCATTAGGAGGGGGAGGGAAAAACCAAACCTAACCAATAACTGCTGTGTATGTGATACTCTGAGCTAGAAGGTGCTGCTTGCAGTGGTCTGTAGCTGGGGAACAGAGTGGGCTGCAGTACACCAACCCCAGCTGAGGGATGCACAGGTACATGTTAACCGTGTTCTCTTTCTGAATGACAAACTGCAATGTATAAATAGTTGGAATGAGGACTTCATTATAGCCATACATCTTTTATGAAGTTTCTTAAACTGGGCATGATAAATCACTTGCTGGGTTACAAGTCAGTAATGAGGGAGATAAGGGAATGCATTTTCTTTTCGTGGGCTTTAAAAAGCATCCTGGAAGTAAGGCATGCTGGAAGAGTTGAGGGGGATGCAGCACCCACATGTTGGATGCTTTTGCTTGATGTTGCTGTGAGGGAGCTGGAGAGTAGCTGGGTGCCACTGGCAGCCACTGCCTCCCACTCCTGTGTGAGACCACATTCCAGCATGGTGGGGGTTTTCTTGTTTTCTCTGTTGGGCTGTGGATGCTGGAGGGCATTAAGAGGAGAGTTCAGAGGACTGTGGGTGAGGAGTTCATGCTAAATCTGTAATAGTGGCAGGAGTTTGGGGGTAGTTGTTTTAAAAAGAAACCAGCGAATGCAGCATGGACTGCTGAAGTCATAAAGCAGATGGTGTTATGAGCCACAGGAGGGCTAAACAGTTGAACAATATCAGCTGTTTCACTCATAAATGATAATTAATATGTCTTTTTTATTACCAACTCAATTTCTGCTGCTAGCTTGGACTTTTCTGTTACTGTCAATGATGGTTGGGTTTTTTGAACGTGGCCACAGTTTGCTCAGGAGCCAGTGCCACCTGTGGGGCCCAGAAACCTTCTGCAACAGGGTGGGAATGAGCAGCTACAGAGACAGGCTCCCAAGAACAGAAAACTTACTACACTGGGATAAAGTCTCCTTTAAAGGAGTTTCTTCCCTTTCCGGCCACGTGTCAGAAACCTGTGATAGAAGGGGACTAGAAACTGAATGATGGATTTAAAAAAGCTGTAGCTTCCCCCCTCCCTCCAATTGCTGCTTGCATTTACAGGGTAAAATTAATGAAGTTAATTACATCTACTCAAAGTCTCTTGGTTGAGTGAATTACTTAGCTCCTTTAAAGTAGAGACATAATTTTCTGCAGGATCCACAGGCTTTTTTTCAGTCTTGGTTGGTTACTCTGTTTTATAGTCCCCATGATGCATGGTTGCTATCCGAAGCACTCTGGGGTGCACCTTTTAGAGTAATGCAAGATGTCAAATTCAGATTAAGGACATCTGCAATGTTCAAAGCAAAAATACTGAAATAATTATAGAAATACTAATAAAGTCCAATTTCTAACAAAGATGAAAAAGAGGATGGATCCAGAGAGTTAAAACATAAAGCAAAATAACAGGGCAAGATGCTTAGAAGGTAGGAGTATGTCATGTAATTAGCAAAGAAAACGTCTAATACACTGCTTATCTGACAGTCTTTTATTCCCTTTGATGTCATCATTTCCAAAATGCAGCATTAACCAAAGGAATTTTACATGTTAAGGTGGAAAGAAAAGAAAGAAGGCCAAAGAATATTCTGTGCAATCCAAACATTTACAAGTGATACTTTGCAGTGTATAGTATTCAAGATTAGGACTTCAAAGAATGTTTGGAGAGATCAAGAACACGATTGTGGGGCTTTAACTGATAATTTTACTTTAAGATTACCCAGCGTGTAAGGTTGACATCAAAGATAAGCCTAAACTTAGGGCTGGAGGCAAACTTCGGCATTCAATTCAGTTTTCACTGAATTGTAAGGTGGGAGGTTTTGTTTGTTTGTTTTTGTTTTGGTTTTGGTTTTTTTTGTTTGGTTGGTTTTTTTGGTTTGTTTTTTTTTTTAGGAAACTTTCCTGCAGATTGAATTTTAAGCTTTCTTGCTTTATGTATTTTTTGCTTTGGGGATATTTTTAAAATTAAAAATCAAATAGAAGTTTTTTGTATGTAAACACTCATCTTGTGTCTTTAATTTTTGTATAATACTCCTTTACTGCTGTGCCCTGGGCTTGCCCCAGGCCAGTACCTCCTGTGGCACCCCATGAGCAGCACCTTCCAGGCTGTCTCTGTCCTTGTGTCTCGTGACAGGCAGAACACATCATGTTTTGTGAAATGTAATTCAAAAAGACCCTGGTTTATATGGAAAATAAGGTGATATGTACATTACTAGAGCTTTCCTGAAATATTTTGGCAGTGTTTCCTGATGGCAAACTTCAGATTTTTCAGTTAAGTCTTGTGTTTCAATTTCCCATCAATAAAATTCTAATTCTTACTGCATACAAGTTCTCATTATACACAAAAGCAGTGCTAACAAATTCATTTCCCAGGAGAAAAGGCAAAAGCATCCCATATGAGATCCTGATACAAACAGTTGCCCCCACAACATAGGCAGTGCAGTAATATAGACTTAAGCGTGGCATGAAGTCTCATATGGTGGCCCACCAAACATGAAGACCATGAAGGTTTTGAACAGCCATATTATCTGGGTGTTTGGTTAGGGCTCTCTGAACACACACACTTGAAAAACCAGTTTAACAGCAGCTGAGCACAAAGTCAAGCAAGTAAGTCTGGGCAAGCATTGGGAAATCCTCCAAGGGAACAAATATTCTCAGCTGATGATACTTCTCCAGGGCATTAGGGATGTGAGGTGTCCTTTGGAGTCACATCACTGCAGGTGACATTCCTTGTGTTAATGACTGAGCCATACCAAAGGAAGTTGTACTTCCATTTCAGAAAACCTGTAACATTAACTTATTTTTGTTTGGGTTTTCCTGGGCTAAGGCTGACTGAGAGAGAAACTTGTCTTTGGTTTGGTTTGTGCAGTGTCCAGCACAAAGAGTTGCATACCCGTCAATGAGGTTCATTAAGAGCTGTTGCAGTAAGAGCAAAATGATGTCTTGACCACTTAAATTACATTTTAGTAGAATGCGTGCTCTAAAACTCCCATAAAATTCACAAACTGGGGACAAAATATTTCATATATCTATTGGTTGACCCTGAGATTAGCTCAGTTGGTTAGAGCACGGTGCAAATAACACCAAGGTTGTGGGTTTGATCCATGTATGGACCATTCACTTAAGAGTTGGACTCGAGGATCCTTGTGGATCCCTTTCAACTCAGAATATTGTGATTCTGTAATTGTACTGAATACAGGAGTGTCTAACATAGAGGGAGCACTCCTCTGAAAATGGGTAGTTTTAGAAAGAATCAAAGGATAGGTGAGTTATCATAGAGACTTGTTCTTTTTCCATTTATGTTTTGAGTAGCAATTAGTTTTACCTAAATGTTAGAGATATTACATATTCATCATCATTAATAATTTTTATTATGTTCTACTAAGAACATGGAAACCCTTTATTTTCTATTTGTTGCTGTGAAATTGTTTCAAAATTTACAGCTTCATAGATGTAGACTCTATCAGTGGTTTTTAATTGTGCATATTTATGATACTGATGTTTTACAAGATTCTGGAGCCCCTCAGGTGTCACTGTTCTCAACTGCTGATGGAAACACCTTAGCAGCAGCAAATACACTGCTGGCAAAAGGAATTGCAATGCTAAGATAAGGTTGTTTCTAATCTAAGTGCTTCTCATTTGAGAATCACAGTATGAGGAAAAAACATACTCGAGTTATCAGTCAATTGTGGCTTTTTTCTAATGTACTATATTTACAACCTCTGACAATTTGAGCTGAGAGCAGCAAAAACCTGTCCTAATTGCAAGGACTGCAAAAAAATACTTGCACTTTTTCCCCTGAATGAATGGTTATTTCTCCGGAATGAAATGCATATCTGCATTACAAAAGAAAGCAATAACAGTGCTGTGCCTTTGCTCATTAAGCGCTTGGAGAAGAGTGAACAAGTCCACATTTTTCTTCATGTGTACCTAGATTTCAGATCACATACCAGAGCATGTTCCCCAATGCCTCTAAAGGATATATTGTACATTTTGATGATACTTTTATTACCACTTTTCACTTTCAAGAATGTCTGTAAAGATTTTGGATATGCTCCTGTGTGTTAGTATGCCGAGAGGAAGCCTTTGTAATTCTGCAGTATAAGTATAGAACGTTACTCAGGATTTCATAATATGTCAGGAATTCATATCAGCACCAAATTGCTTATGATTTGAATGAGATATGTGTTACTTCTGTGAGACTGTATGTAAATAGATATGTATTTAAGCAATATTTTTTTTGCAACGTTACTGACTTAACTTGTAAAATACTGTTGTTTTTTCGTCTTAGGTCTGAGGGTAACTGTGTTACTAACTTCATCCCTCATGGTGTTGGGAGCTGGCCTCAGATGTATTCCAGTCTCAGACCTAGAAATTAGGAAGAAGTAAGTGAATTAAATTATTTTTAATATACATATTTTATTCTTTCTGCTAATATAATTTTTGCTGCTACTGCAAAGAAATGTTAGTAAAAATTTTCTGTATGAAGTTGATATGCCAAATGTTTGTTGTGTGGCCATGGGCTTACATGCTTTTTTGCTTTTTAAATGGATTTTTCTAGTCCTTCTTTTACATTGTATCTGAAGATCAGAAAGCCCTTTACAAACTTGAGTTAATTACGCCTCACCCCATCCTGCATAGTTAATATTAATCTGCTTTGCAAATAAGGAAACAGAGATTTAGAGAGGTTCAGAAATTGGCCCAAGATCACAGAGGGAGCCATGCCTCAAACCCCAAAAATATGTAATTTGTATGCAAATATTAAATAGTTAGTTCATTTTCTCATATTGGCTGTGTGGGATCGTGCCATGAGACAGATGAAATTGCGCAAAATGGCCTTTTTCATGTAGTCTCTCCCAGCGTGGATTCCAAAGTAGGCTTGTACTTTTATCTGCCGTGAAATGATTGCCTTCTGTACACATGCAGTTAAAGAGTTTGTGATAGAAACAGATTCCTTCCTAAAAATCACACAAACCAAACGATTCAATTGTCCTGTCAATGTATCCTGAACCTGGGCATCCTCAAGAAGTACAGAGTATGTTTTGTACAGCCAGGGAATGTGGATCACTTGTTATTCACTTAACTTTCTTTTTCCTCTTATGCTGAAGGAGGTAGGAGTATACACAGGCATTACTACACCTTCTTTCTTCTTTAAAAACAGCAGTAGCACTAGGTCTTTACTAGTTATGCTTGCATAATATGTAAACATGAAGAAAAGAACTTATAAATAAAAGATTTCTATGTGGATTGGGTTTTTTTCCCCCTTGAACTCTAGTCAGCTTCCAGGCGTCCTTTTATTATTTCAGCAAGTTATTTGACTTGGGGGATTTTTTGTTTTATTTTTTTTTGATTCCTCTTAGTATTGCTTACTCTGAAAATCAACTTGGAATCTTTTTAAGTTGGGAAAGAAGGTGTTTGGTGTGAAGTTGAAAGCCGATGACTGGGAGCCATGGATAAAGCAAAAGAAGAGGTTCAGAGAGAGAACCGAGAATGTAAAAAACATTGACTGTAAAACCAGCCCTGATAAGTAAACTGAGAGCAGTGTGTCAAGTAGGGGAGATGCAATTTCAGTCCTTAGGTGCTTAGTGAGCATATAAGGAAGCACCCAAGGTGCTGCTGATGTTGGTTGCCCAGTGTTGCCTATTTCAACATGGTGTTCAAGGACTCTGTGAGCAGGGGAGGCTGAACTAACCATATTGTGCTACCATTCACAGTGACCCTTTTAAGGAGAATGTACTGTTAAGATGGCCAGGGAGAGCTGTTCTCATTGTGCCCTTTTCCTTAAAATGTTAAGGGGTACTCGACATTCAGTTTGTTCATTCTCATCAATCTTGGATTAAATATCGATAGCTTTTAAATGGGCCAGATGGCTTAAATGCAATGAAATGTGGTGTCTTATGTACTTTTCATTTATGATTTATGCCAAAAGACGTGCTGCCCTAGGCTTTACCAAAACAAGGATGAGGGCTATAAGTAGCTGAGAAGATGAAAATACCCAAATGAGATTTAGATGTGATGTATCATTTGGGGAGTGGGAAAAAGAGTGTCCACAAAATCTTGATCACCTTTAAACAAAGTTTTCCAGTTTAGCTGCAGCAAGGACACCTAGGAGAACAATTAAATACATGCCTAAGGAGAAACGTTCACAGAACAACTTCTTTAACTAGGAAAGAAAAGGATTGTATAGAGTCTGATGAGTGAGATGTATAAAACATGATGTTAAAATTTATTGAAAACTATATAGGGGGAAAAAAAGAGTATGAGCAGAATCCTGATGGAAAAGGTTAATAATTTCATATATTCATGCTGTGAAAATATGCATCATCTCCAGGTGAAATTGATAAATTTGCCTACTTAGCCTACTCCCAAAAAAGAGACATTTTCAAGAATTTCGGCTCTATCTGAGGAAGTAGTTTGATCTTTTACACAGTTTGATTAAAAATCTACAGAGAATTAATTAAAGCTAACTGTGTGAAGCAAAAGGATGGTTTTCAGTGAAGTTTCTTGAGACATTGTAAATAATTGTACAGACTGTGTGATGTTTTGTCAAGTAACCTGCATTGTTTTGAGGGCTAAGGCTGAAGGCCAGTTTTCATCCGTTACTTGAAGCATGGTACCAAATAAAATAATATTTTTGAGATGAGCATTACTGCTTAATGCATTAGCCACAGCTTACTGAGCACTAAATTATGCACTTATTCTGAATATGTGTATGCATTAATACAGCATCCTGAATGTTACAGAGCCTGTCAGGTGGACAAGATTACACACAAGCTAATATCAAAGCATTTCAGAAGACAGTGTAAATGGAATCTCTTTAAATGCTTTTACATGTTTTGTAGTATGTTCCTTCAGACCTTGAGTAATTTGCAGTAATATGCTGAAGGATTTCCATGGGACAGTTATGTCAGAGTTAACATGCATAAAATTATAAGAACGTTCATGACGTTTGTAAGGTTTAGGTTGGGTTTTTTCTACTTTGTAGCTGTCTCTGAACACTAAAAAAAAAAATGTTATCAAATTGTACCTTTTCCTGAACCTTCTTCCCTTCCCTGAAGGTTACAAGAACATCACTAGTGCTTTTTGCCTGCATTTTGCTCAGTTCTTTTTGACTCCTGCTTGTCACCAGGTGAATATTTTCATTTGACTCTTTTAGAATGTGATTATTTTGTCCTGAATGTTAACATTACTAGAAGTCCATTTCTTTATATAGTAAATCAGGGTTGTTTTTTTCCCTTCACATAACACTTCATATTTACCTCATATTGTGTGTTTAGGAATAGATTTACATACATCTTAGGTCTTAAATCTAGGCAAAAAGCTCTTTGAGCTGAAATGTGTAAGAAAGAAGGAAATAAAATGATGCAATCAGCTCATAGCCATACATCTTTGGCTTTTAAACTGACCATGTGATGTAAGACTTTTTAAATGTTTTGAAAGACAGGATAATTAAAGACATGAAAGTAAAGGATGTAACATAATTTGTCACTTGTATTGAATATATTAATTAAGCAATTTAGTAGAACTGAGTGTGCTATGGACTGGTAGTGTTTGTCCTTCACATTAGGTTTCACAATGGACAAGTAGTTATTGAGGACCTTGAGTCACAACAGTGAGAGGGCTCTCCTTGGCAGTAAATACCATTAAAATGTTTGTTGGGAATCCAGCAGAATGACACAGAGAATGACAGTTGTTTATGAGAGTAGTTGGTAGATCCTGTAAAGGAGTCTTTTTGTTAATCCTACTAGGTCTTTGGATTTTAAATCTTTTTGCCTGCTCTTGGATATAATGTTAACTCTTTCTGTTACTGTATTTGAACAATTACTCTTACCACATCTTTGGTACATTTTGTTTCTATTAGCTCTAGTTGCAGCCTAGTTTGTATTTTATTCTTGTTAGACTTAGTCTTTAGTAGTTCCATGTTTTCCCTTTTTCATCCCTGCAAGCCTAAAGAATGACATGAGATCATCTCATTATTTGTCTTTTGAGATCCTAAGACTGTCATAAGCCACTATTCTTATGCATGAAAAATGCAAAGGGGCACCTCAGAAGAGGTAATTTCAGTAAAGACATGCTAGGATTCTCATATTCCCTGGCAATACTGAACACACTTCTATGCTGAAAAAAAATCGCCAAACTGGAGCATCTGTGGAGAAGAGGGATTAAAATGTTTCAGGGAATGAGAAGAGCCTTTTAGGAGAGGATAGTAGGAAAATCTGCCTGTAAGAAATAAAGACAGAGTATGATGCGTGTTTCGTGCTCCTTAATTCGCTGGGGAAGAGGAATGAAAGAGGATTTAATCTAAAGTGAGGTTCTGGGAGTAAAAAGATGAATAAACATACCTGTTTGTATATGCTGCAGCTCAGCAAGTGTAGGAGGAAAACGTTATGATGGAGCACTTGCCTGGTGCTGGTGGTGCTGGTTTGCACTTCAGCTGCAGTGCTGGGGGAAGGCCAAGCTGGGTTAATCCATGGTATCAGAAAAAGAGGTCAGTGGGGAAAAAAGGAAATAGGTCATTCACGGGTAGGTTCTCATGGGGAATACTTAATTGTATTAAGTAACTGTAACTCAACAGTTTAGCTTGTTTTTATTATTTCCACCAGCTTCATCTTATACACAGGGTTTATTTTTTGACTTCTGCTCCAAAACATTTGTTGTAGATGAGAAGTTCTGTGAGTTGTTCCTAAGCAACAACTCACAGCTTTGCTTGTTTGTTGATGGTAGTGGGAGGTGATTTAGTGTCCCTCTTATCTACCCAGTGGTCCTACCTGCCCCTGCTTGAGCTGCATGTCCTGTGGCACACCAGCAGCCACTCAGGTGGCAGCCAAATGGGCTTTTCCTTCAGCTTAAACAGCCTGGGTGAAAAAAAAAGACAAATGGTCAGTTTTGGTTATAAATGCTCTTTCCTTTTTCACCTGTGCTGGATTTTGGCTGTGGCACTGTGGTTGTCATCCACCTCCCCCAGCAACCAGGGTGGCTGCTGAATTAGCAGTTTACAGACCCTGTGTAAATTCTTAGAGTGATGAATCCAGGACATTAAAGGAAACTCTTGAAATCTCAGAAAGGGCTTGATATTGCAGCAGTTTTTAGTGGGCAGCTTCTACAAGGCCTCAGCTAGTGTAAGCCTTTGCTGGGAAGGAAGAGAATTTATATTCTCTGTGGGATATTTAGTTTCATCTCATATAATGGTAGGTGGTATCCTCAAATGTAGAACACTTTTAATTTTTTTAATCCTATTTAAAATCTTTGCCTTAATTTGTGACTCATGTTGGCTAATTTCTGTCCTTAAAGAAGAATTCATATTAATTGAATTTATACTAAAGTTGCTGCATTATAAACAAAGCACCCTCTTGCTCTTTCACTCACTTAGGAAAAATTATTCAAG